ATGATGCGATCATCTGTTCTGTCGAAGTCGTTTATTTACGACGTAACGGTCGTGTTATGAATCGACTAAGAAATACATGATTATATGGAGATTTCATTGTATTCGGGTCTATGCGAATTTTGAAATTTTATTAGCTTCGTTGAATCGTATTTCATTTACGTAGATTTGTTTAATGATATTATTTATTTATTCGTAATATATCGATACACTTATAAGTCAAAATGACTTTATATCTGAATAGGAGACAGGGGCAGGTTAATGCCTTATCTCACTTTATAATCTTTGCAATTTTTACCCTCTATCGCTTAATGGGAAATATACTAAAGTATACTTTGTTTTTTCCTCTTTATGTATTATAAATGAAAATTTGAAAAAATAGAACACAGCGTGAGTAAGTAAAGTTGTTAAGTTGATACATTTGTGAAATACGTTGGTATGATGTTTGATAATTATTTTCGTCGATTAAGGCGTATCTACTATTTTAGTTCTATTGATTATTCATTAGACAGTCGATATAGGTACGGATGTTTCCTGTATTTATGTATTTAATTTCGGCAATGATAATTGCAATATTGATATATGTTAATTTTGTATATTTTTAAACGAAACTTAAAAGATTTGAAATAGAATTATTGAAAGAGTAAAAGGTTTCAGCAGAATTTTAAAAGATTCGCATAGATCTGATTTTACAAACATCCAAAGGGCACGTACTAGTTAACGCGTAAAGTCGAAGGTCATTTTCTGCATGCAAGGCAGATAAAATCAAATAGCATTCAAGAATAACTACTCGGTAATTACTTCATTAAGGTTGTGCTTCCTGGCGAAATAAGAATCAGTTATAAATAATATTATTACTTAATATTTATCAAATTAAATAATATTCTGACTAATATTATAAGCTGTGGAACCCAATTTTTACAATAACAGATTTCTATTTTTTAAACAGCCTCACTTATAAGGTTTGAACGTAACGTAAGATTACTTTAATTTATATAACACGAGTGCATATTAAGTATCAAAGACAACAATCAAAGACATCAGTCTCTTCTTAAAGAAACGTAAGTTTATCTGTTTTAACATAATTGTGCAGTGTCAGTTATTTATTTTTTCGAAGAAAATAACATGTCGAGCGATGGTTTGCGCCGAACCGCTACACTTTATTGCTTCATTTATATATATATTTATATATATATACTTGAGCTTAAGTATTTTTAGCGAAGTACAACTCGAAGAACAGAAAAAATTGTATCATCGAGTATTGATAGTTTCTATCTGTCCCCGCTTTGCTTCTAGAAAATGACGCGCGCTTTAAAATGTTAACCAGTATGGGTCTACCAAAATTGGAAAACAAAATACATACTCCGCAACACGTGCATGATAATAATTTCTACAACATACCAATGTTGATGATTACGATCTAGCGTATTCAAAATTTGAGATAACATCTATACTCTAGGGAGAAAGATGTTAAAACATTTGTAAAAAATTATGCTGAAATTTTTCATTTCGAAGTTCAAACTTTGTCATTATATGTTTTGTTGGTGTAAGCAAGAAAAATTTGTATATAAATGAAAAATCGTAAAATTAATAAACGTACGAATCTTCATTAAAATACTGTAGAAATATTAAAGGAATCGTGATTAGGACTAAATTCTGTTAAATAACTAATAGACTTATGGTTATTCTAATATCAAACTGGAATAGATCCACGACATAACCAGTGGTTAAGTAGTCGTTTCACTGTTTCTGTGAATGCAAAAATGACAGCGATGAAATATTAACGCTACGTATTAGTCGACGTTTAATAGTTACTTGTTTGACTATAGTATTTTTCTTATTTTATTAGATATGTAAAACATCGACAAAGTTTGACTGTAGAAAGCCGGGGTACCGTTTGCAAATATTTGGGCACGTTCATATTGAACAAATTTATAAAATATATCTTAAAAAAAATTCGTTGATCCAGTATTAGCCTATGATATTTAACAACTATATACAGCTGATAGATATTAATGAAAAAACTGGATAATGTTAATTAGTATAAATAAAAGAGTAATAACTGAACTTAGACGAAGATTGATCCTATGTAGACACATGCATTTAACGAGTTTAAGTGACTATTTAATATTAGATGTTTTAGAGTGATTGAAATATACATTTCTAGTCGCATAGAAGTGTCAATTATTTATTATATATAAACATGAAGTTTTAAAGGAAGACACGCTGTTTTCATTTAAATTTATTAAAAAATAAATGTTGTGTCAAAAAGTAAAATGTTATCAGCAAAGAGATGATTTTGCATTCAAACTTCAACAACTATAACGAAACAATCTTTTAATTGAATTATACAAGATGTCCAAATATTTATGGACGGTCGTGTAAAAGTATTTCATCGTACGGTTTAAATATTTCTTTTTATAAACTTGTCAATGCGTTCAATAGTCATCTCGAACGAATTATTTTCGTAGCACGATTGCGAGAGTAAGCAAAAGCTGTGAGTAATTCGGCAACGATCCACCTATAATTGGTCTTAGAAGAACATAAAGATTGCTTATTATCTCTCATCGACCGCTTTTTTACGCGCATCAGTTCTCTTAAATCTTTACAGGATTACATTAGTTTTGCAACAAATGTATGCCGTAAGCTTTCTCTTTCTTCCAACTTTACGAGTCTTCTCTTTCTTCCTTTTTTCCCTATACTTAATCCATTTAACGATATTGTAAAAAGATCGCATAACACAGCTTTCTGCAAAGAGTTTCGATATCTTGCACAAGGAGTGTTCCGCACAAGCTTGCACCAACGCAAGCTTCGTCGATTATTTTCATTTCTTTACGTACCTTTTTGACTAAACTCACGAGTACGCCAATTCCTCCACGACTAACAGAAGTTCATCGGTGTATTCGCGGAAAGCATCGCAGCTGATTGCATGAGAAGCTGCGGATGTGACAACAATCCTTTCGTAACTTCCTTTTCTTCTTCACCTTTCGCTTTATCGACTAGCACCAAAGTCTTACACACTCGGAAGCCAAACAACTTCGGACATTTTACTAAACAGAAACGACGATAGATTCTTCAAATTACGCTAACGTAGCTTCACATTTTTTTTTTTTTTACCATTTTCAAGATAATACCAGGTAACATATTCATAAAGTAATAACAAAACAATAACAAGATTAATCTTTTGCGATCTGAGTTAGGTTGAATAATTTATTCCAAAAATTGCTTTATACCCGGTAAATTACTTTTGAAGATTGTTCGCGATTCGACTGTTTATACTTTCATATTTTTGATTCAAATATTTCCACCGAGCCTCGTGATCCAGCAGATTTTATACGTTAAAAGCAAACGAAAGTAGAGATCGCAAGGGGTTAATTGATTAAAAGTTCGATCCTTTACAACGCGATGGTAAAGCTTTACTTCCGAGTGTACGAGTTTGTGTTACCCGTAGTATAAATATGCGAAGCGAGCGCCTATATTTATTTCAGTTAAACAGACTCGCGGTAATTTTTGCTACATTTCCCCGAAGCAACGAATTGATTTCGCTTTGTAGCGATTGCACTAGCGTGGCAGGTTATTATAGGACACGAGAGAACTAGCTTCGGTTGGTCGGGCATTTATTTTATCTACTCTTCCTCTTCTTCTTTTATTTTTATTTTTTTTATTTTTTTTCGTTTTCGAGGCTTGGTTGAGGGTGTGGACCAAAGGGAGCGGGGTTTTGAAGGGAGTAAATGAAACATGTGTTAAATACGCATGCCGAACAATGTACAAAATACAACTTGTATAAGTCGAGCGACGTCGGGCAGACTGCCTTCAAACGACGAAGATACTCCTTGGTGCAAACATCTGGGTATCTATACGTTTCTATGGCAGTTTTCGGCGATTCTGTTCACTGGGTTCATTTGAGTCCTCAGTTTCGCAGGAAATGCTTTAGAACGTTATAGCAGTCCACATTACATCCTCCCCCATCCTTTTTTTCCTTATTTTCTCGACGCATCGTTTCGAAGTCGTTTGGAGGATCCACGACAAACGTTTCGAGCGTATTCTTTTTTATCCTTGGTCGTACAGTCGTCTACAATGGGGCCCTTTTTGCACTACTGTCTCTTTTAAAAATCTCGTTATTGAAGTAACGGTGGCGTTGAATCGAAGATTCGAACGATAAAAACCCGCTTCTTATCGTAACGGCACGTCGGTCGTTGTTCTATACGAGGGTAACATTGTATTTGGAAAAATAAGCTTCTTTACGTACGCAAATTGTTGCTTGCTTCGTATTGTACATTTTTTCGTACATGTAAACAGACTACTTACGCTTTCCTTCTATTTTGTCAGTGATCGAATATGTTGTTATTGTATTTGGTGTATAATTTGGTACATATTTTTGAACGCTTTCGTGCAGTGAGAGCTTTTGGTATTTACTCTGTTTTTTGGTAGTTGTTGTTGCTTATAAAAAAAAGCAGGCTATAAATAAAACTATTATATTTTTCTTCGTATTTCACCGATAACTCACATGTTGAGAAGTATTTCCATGTTATATCCGAGTCTGGACGTTGTGAAGAGATACGTATTTCCGGTTGACGGTTGGAATTCTTATTTCTGATCCAGCTTTTTGTCGACTTTCGTGCGATAATAAGAAAAAAGAAAAAGTATCATAAATATGGTAAACACGGTAACGCAATCACGGACTACACGGAGTTTTTCTTCTTCTGTTCTTCACGTTCGTCTATCGAAGTCTGCTTCATTGGCTATTTCCTGTTACGATAACGATATAGGAACTGTTACTATTTCCAATTTTGTCATTCCACTACGTTGCGTTCAAATTACACATGGAAAATATAATAAATCACACGAAACAGAAACGTTCAATTGTAGAAAAACAGAAAAGAAAGAAATATATACGATAGCCAGTCGACGGAAAGTTCTAGAAAAGGTGCGGTAATTTTAGTTTAATCGCAGCAAGAATAGTAGGAGATGAAGCGATCTGACGATGTCGGTATTTGACCGGTTGATCCGTCGGTTTTCCAGGTGATAGCTGTGATATCAATACTCTTTATTGTGCTTTCGACGATCGCACTAACTCTCAACACCATTCCTAGTATGCAAGTGAATGATGAGAAGGGGAACTTTCAAGACAATCCGCAGCTCGCCATGGTGGAGGCTGTGTGCATCACATGGTTTACCCTCGAGTACATGCTTAGGTTCAGTGCCTCGCCGGACAAGTGGAAGTTCTTCAAGGGTGGTCTAAATGTGATCGACCTGTTGGCAATACTGCCGTACTACGTATCTCTGTTCCTGGTCGAGACGAACAAGAACGCGACCGACCAGTTCCAGGACGTGCGCAGGGTAGTGCAAATCTTTCGTATAATGCGGATCCTGAGGATCCTGAAGCTGGCCCGCCACTCGACCGGGCTGCAGAGCCTTGGCTTCACCTTGCGTAACTCGTACAAGGAGCTGGGCCTGCTGATGCTCTTCCTGGCGATGGGCGTCCTTATATTCTCGAGTCTTGCCTACTTCGCTGAGAAGGAGGAGCCCGGGACCAAATTCATAAGCATTCCAGAAACCTTTTGGTGGGCGGGCATCACGATGACCACCGTCGGATACGGCGACATCTACCCCACGACCCCGCTCGGCAAGGTGATCGGCAGTGTGTGTTGTATATGTGGTGTCCTGGTAATCGCGTTGCCCATTCCCATTATCGTTAACAATTTCGCCGAGTTCTACAAGAACCAGATGAGACGGGAGAAAGCCCTCAAGAGGCGAGAGGCTCTTGAAAGGGCAAAGAGGGAGGGCAGCATCGTTTCGTTCCATCACATCAACCTGAGGGATGCCTTCGCCAAAAGCATGGATCTCATCGATGTCATCGTCGATACTGGTAAGCGACGGACCACGAGGAGGATATACACACTTACTACTCGGGTTATATGATACGCTCTGAAAATACACCGATCTTCTGAGAATCGAATGATACGATCTAACGGTAAAGAATATCGGAATAAAGAAAATTAGAATAACTAGAGTAAATTTACTTGATAGTAATAGTTGGTGCATAAGTAAATTGCAGGGAATAGGTATAATATATTTAATAATAAATCAGAATAAGATGATACGAATGAGGACGATTGATTGCAGAAATGCTACTCTGTTGACGTTTTATAAATATATGTACTCGCTCGATATGGTACTCGTATATATTTTAAGGCAAAGAACACTAAAATAAATTTACTTTATAGGAATAGTTGACGATGATCGATTGCGAAAATGGTATTTCATTAATGTTTTATATTGGTACTCGGTACTCAATTGAAACGATACTCGTATAAACTTAAGGTGAAGAATTTTAGCATAAACGTACCTTATGCAGCGTATTTGTGGTGTACAAGTAAGCTTTTGGACATACAACATTATGGTGGTTTAATGGGGATGATAAATATTATCGCAAAAATACTATTTTAGTTATGTCTAATAAATATAACAACCTGAAATGGAAGTCGAAATATTTTCATTGCTAAGAAATTTCTACTACTACGTTTCCGATGTTTCCACTATGTTTATTGGTAATTTTATATGCACTTCCATGCTTTTGATGAGGTTTTTTAGTATAGCGTGTTAGTTAATTTTATCTTTCTGCTTTTATGAATTTATCTACTACTTTTCTAGGTACTGTAGTTGAATGTATTTCGATGAATCGCCAATTAAATAATAGGAAAATCCTCTTTCATTAGCCATAGCTTTTAAAAATAATATTAACGAAAGAAGAATGGTTTTTCCCTCAGACAACTTCGTTTTTTCTACAAACAATTATCAGAATTTACTAATTAAGGCCTGAAATGATTGGGTTCAAGAAAACACATATGAAAAGGTAGATAGTTGGGTGCAAACGTACTAGGCAAATATTTATACTTAATTATTTCTCGAGAACGAAATGTCGTGTAGACAAATTTTGTTCTATTTTTTCGACCTCTTTTTCATACGAAATCATTCTCTTCCAGTTGTGCTTTCAGTGCATCAAACCTTATATAATGATACAAGTTATTAATGTATAAGATAAGATATATACAATATATACAATATAATACAATAAGTATATAAAATATAATTTTTTACTGGAAGGTCGACAGATTGAAGCATTGAAGATTGGTATATCGTTGAAACGTATCATATCTCGAGTATATGTGCTTCACCATCACGAGATCAACGTTTTCGCGCTATAGTCGGGAAAACTTGGCTACGACTACGGCTTGCTGTTTGCCAATTAACGGTCTAACCGGATCGTTTTCTCTCGTGCTACTGAAGGTTTTCGTTTTTTTTTTTTTTTCGTTGTTCCCTAATATTCTTTGTACATCGTCGCATACCTTCGTTGCGCACACGTAGATCTCAAAAGTTTCACCTGCTTAACTGGAATTCCTTGTATCTTTCGCTAACTTTTATTGCGACGAATCTCAAATATGTCCAGGGATTTAACGAAAAGGAAATCAATTAGAAACAGTTCAGTGCCGTTTAGAATGGAAAATAGCGATGTCAACATTATTCCAGTTAACAAGGCGCGATCGTACTCCAGAGTGATACTGAGCGGGACCTTGTCACTCTCTACGCCCATTAACGGTGTTCTTCTCATTCGTTTTACTCCGATCATAAATATACTAATACTAACGCACGTGTGCGATACCCGAAAAATGGAAAATCGCAAGTTTTATCGTAACGAAACGTTAACAATTTATCAACCCTGACGCAAGAATGATGAATTTATCAGTTCTGGCGCAGGAGCAAGGTAAAGAGAGACCACACTGCTAGAGAAACACTGACCACCCTTTTTATTGACTTTCTCATTAAATGTAAACTGCACCATATTCATAAATATTCATGAATCATGGGAGGACACAGAACAAAACTATTGTCATTCATCGATCGTGTTATTTTCATTCTCTATCGCAGTGTTTCCCAACCTCTTGCGAGTCGCGACCCCTTCTCATTAGAATCAAAGTATTTATACTGTTAATAATGTCATTTTCAGTGAACGAGTCAAGGTCTACCGTGGTCGAAATTGAAAAAAAAAATATTATGGTCTTGCCATAGCGTAGAATTAGAATAACATAGAGTGTTTGATAAACCTTCTGGTCTTAAATATGTGGACACTTTGATCGATTTATTAACGGTATACCAATGCTACTAAAATATATGAATTAACGACAAACTAACGATCGATAGTATACTTATTATGTTCTTGTGAAATCAACATGTGTATATCATATTTCATTTTAATTAATTTATTTGTAATTAGGACAGACTCTCATGGAGTTTATTAGTAAAGAAGGCACCAGGTTGCGAATTAACAACAGCGAATATCCTAAAAGAATTATCCAGGAATGCTCAAATGTTTTTTATTACATGTTTTTTATTACATGAAATTTAAATTGTTTATTTAAAACCTCATTAACGGTATATTAAAATTAAGTACGCGATTTGTCGAAATGTTAATTTATCTTTAATATTATTACTGGAATTGATCACGATAGTTTCTCTATGTATGTAGCCTGTACCTTATCGTATTTGTAACTCGACGGCGAGACAAATTGAGAATAGTGAACTTTTTATATAGCGAAATTGTCTCATAATGTTTGACACTTTAACTCACGATCATAGTAATGTAGGTCAGAAATAAGCAAGTGTTCACGTACTTCTGAGCAGTAGATTATGCGTGTAATAGGGCGAACCTTTAAGGAGATATTCTACTGTAAGACACGGTTTACAGACTTTCTTTGGTATTTTTAGAAAAAATCATTAAATAGTCTTACCGATATAATTACCTTGTACATATACTTTTCCATGTTTCAGCGACATTTGAAAACATTTTTAAAGAGAAATAATCAAAATTAACAGCACTGTATATCCTCAAACGTATTCGTTTAAAAAACGATCTTTTCATAGCTTCATGATTCTAGTCATTATGCTGATCCCTGTACATTAAAAAAACCAAAAAAATTCTTGATCGACATGAGTTTGTCTATATCGAAGCTAGTAGCAAAAAAGTCAGCAATTAAAAAAATCTCAACATTTTCAACTTTCACTAGATATACAAAATTCCACATACAAAGTCCCGTATACACGTTGATCCACTTTTTCCTTTGCGCGTAACTTAAGTCAAGACTACTTTACGCTTAGGAACACAAAAAGATCGATTCTCTAAGCGAAAATATGCAGTAGAATACTCCCTTAACATGTTCCGAATATCCGCATGAAGACCTTAAGTCTCTTCTTCCCATCGATTTTAAGAAGTGGCGTTATGATCACTGATAAAACATCCCGTTAAAATAAAGAAAACACCGCGAATCATAAATAAATAAATTTTTGCAGAAAAATAGTTGCAAGTGAAAATAACCGTAGCGATCCACGGAGGAAACTTAACGACTCTTTGGAGGTCGCGACCTACAGGTTGGGAATCCTTTGCTCTATCGATTTTGCTTGGTAGATTCCTAAGAACGCCGACATGGCAAACACAATCATCTTAAATCGTATTCCATCCGATTCACATATCTCGACTACTAGCGTTTCGTGTAATCTCGATTCTCATACAGATGTTGGAAAATGAGCCTACTAATCCTGCGTCAAGGTTGATGAATTGATGGCATAATGAAAAACATAATGGATACCGAGGCTGTTTTCAGGTCACGATATGTCCGGCGTGGATGGTAACAGCAAGGAGGGGGAATCCGTGTACGGACGCAGCCCTGCCCAGACCAGGTCAGGCTGTTATCCTAGCTATGAGCATTACGGTCCCTCGTGGCGTCGTTGCGGTGCCTCGTTTTCCTGCTGCTTCCTCAGTCAACCTAACGATCAACCTACCACGCCGGACAGACCGAAACTTAACTTCCAAACTAATGATCTCTCACTCGCATTTGGAACGACTATCCGGCACACTTGCCCGAGATTCGAACATCACCGACTCTATGCCAAGGTCGATGCCGACAAACTAATTGCACCTACCTAAGCTCACGACATGTCCGACGTGGATGGTAACGAGCTATTTTATCGATATATTTTTGGTTTCGCTTCCGCTACTTTCTCGATATACGGCCTACGTATAGATAAGAAAGCAGCCTACCACGCCGGACTGAATCAGGACTTCGCTTCTTCTTCACCCAGAAAGGTTAATCAATTATATTAACACTAAAACCCTGAGAGATATCATCCTATCCACGTAGAACACCGACGGCGATCGTTTTCATCAAACACAGTGTTTTCATAATTTCAACGAAATAAATACTGTTTCGTTGAATTGAGCTCGGGTTAATTGGTTTTATCCCTTCTATAAGCGATTAATTATCTCGTATCGAAATATCGAACTGTATTATGAAATTACAAGGAACGAACGATCAGTCGTTTTACACGGAATATTTCCGATTGATACGATCGACGCGTGTATTTTATTTAAAATTCTATACTTTGCGAATGAATATCGGATCACGATGAAGGGTGATTTTATGATCTATCATTGAATTGATCGAATATATAGGGTGATCACAAGTTTTTTCATAAGACTGGTGTGAGAATATTCTGTGAGTAGAAATAAGAAAAAAAAATATCCTCTAAGTATAAGATCAGAAATGCTTGATTGTGGATACTTATACAAATTAATATTTTTATCAACGCTATTAAACAGATGGAATTTAAGCGGAAATTAGTTTTATCCACTGAATATTGTAACGAATACTGTATATTCTATATATTTTTGCATCTCACGTGGATTTTCGTATCTTTAAATTTAAAATGTACAACGAAGTAGAGAATATTGATTTTTCGACAGTTCTATTTTAAAATATTTACCAAACTTAAATACAGGATTCACGTCTATTAGAAATTGAATTTATTACATTAAAAATTTCCCACAGCTTCTCTTTAATTTCGATGAATGGTACACGTACCACTGGTAGTACGTGAGAGGGTTACGTGAATTATAGAATCTCGATTATCCGATGTGACGTGGAAAAGTCTATTAGTGTTCGCAGCTCGTATGATAAGATACATAGAAAACATTTTGATAGCGTTATGTTGTACATGTATCTAGGATTAATTAATTAAGAAATATTAAATTCGTGCTCTTAAAAGATCTTCGTGTTAAAATTTCGAAAAAGACGAAGTTACTACAAGTAAAGTTTCAAAGCACCTCGGATAATACGGAACTTTGGTTAAACGGGACTCGAATAACCGAGATTCCACTGTATTTGTACAACGTACAGTATACAAATTTCATCGCCATCGAAAGTAATCATGCGAGATATTCTTTTCTTGGTGATACTGAAATTTTACTGCTGATGGTATGCATTTATGAAAAGATTAAAAACCTCTGCCTTGTTGTAATTTCTGATAAGTATCAATTCTTGTTGAGAGAATTTTCTTCTCCAGGAGTGAAGGTCCGATGGGATGATGTGATGAGATCTCGAGCGATCTTGAGGGTCGAAGGTTAATCTTCGTTGAACCGTTATATCGAATACGAAATAAATTTCTCGTTACCTATATTTTTTATATAAGTCTCTAATGAAACAATTATACGAGCCTAGGAAATTAACGAGAAATTTATAATATAGTATATTCAATTTCTCGCAGATCTCAACCCTGTATTTATGAGAACGGAAAATCTTTTAAAATGGAGTTAATGGAAATGTGTACAACATCGATCTGTTCATTGATATTCCATCGAATGAGAAATTATATCTCGTATTTTTGTTATAACTTTTTATTGGAGTATTTACGGTGGCTACAAAATGTATTCGCTATCGAAAACGATTTTTTTATGAGATTGTATATATTTCATTTTCGCAGTATAAAACTTCTACAGTCGTGCAAAGGTACCACCAAACGATGCGAAATTTAATATACTTGGACATAATTAACTAGTACGTATATGCTGTGATAAATAGACCGGTGTAGCAATATTTTTCGCAGCCTTTGTATATGAACTTATTTATATTCATAAAATATATTGGCACAGTTTCGTGGAAAAAGCCTGGGACACCCTACGTAAAGGAAATTATTTATTTTTATATTATCGTATTTCATGCAAACTCAGAATTTCAAAAATATATATCATTTCTTTTACACAATTACATCTTACAATTACATAATATTATTTTTTATTATTTTTATCATATTATCTTGCAGAATTTCCTAAGAAGTGCAGTTACAAAATCTTTGTATCTGCAATATTTTAACAAACCTATTGAACATCAATATTCCGTGGCAAAAAAAAAAAATATGAAAATAGGTATTAAAATGACCGTATTCGGAGTTCTAGTGATAACTAACACCTGACACACTAAGCACGATCAGTCATCTTTTTTTGTTATCGCACCTGCGCCATAATTGATAAACTTATCAAGGTGCGAGAAAACGCACGAACTGGACATCGAGCCTCTTGCCAAATCGTTAGATGTCCGGCGTGGATGGTGAGCAAACACTATTAAAATTTATTGATATCGTTTATATCGATATTACCTTTGTCGATGATTTATATTTCGAACGTTGATAAGAATTTTATTTTTAGCAAGTATGTTTGTTTGATATCAACAAAAAATACAAGTGTATATATATATATATTTATTTAATTATTTGTTCTTTCTGTAATTAAAATTGTTTTATATTCATGAAATAATATTGATCTTAGATACGATTGGGAATAAATACATCAGAACACTGATGATACCATGGAACACATTTATGTACAAAATATTCTCAAAATGGTACATTTGAACATTTAAAGTAAAGATCTTTTTAAATTGCAGTTAAATCTTTGAATCAAAATTAAGATGATTTTTAGAAAGAGATCTCGTGTGAGGAATCGATTAGGACGAAGATCAATCTTTTGTTCGTAAATTATACATATGGTATAATATGAAAATTTTGTAAATTATTCGAAGTGACCGATCATTTTCACCAATTATCAGAATTCAGTTTTTCAGATGAGAATCATATCCTTCTGAACGAAACGTATAAGCACTATAGCTAATATAACGAACAAAAATGAAATTAAAATGAATGAAAATGAAAAGCTGCACATGTTCTAGTTCATAACTTGTAATAAGCAAAAAAAAATTACCACACGCCACATGTAGTATGAATGTGTCATTCGATCGTGAAAGCTAATCACAATAATCGATCAAGACGTTGTAATACTTTCCCCGAAAGAACAGAAACTTGAATTTTGATAATTGAGTATCGAAAAGTATCCAACGATCGTCTTACATTTGCTTTCAAAATTCATTCTATTGAAATCAACATATAAACAAGACGTACCAATCACAAAAGAGTATCAAAGTACAAGATCACGCCAAGAATCGTCTTACTTTTGCTTTCAAAGTCGCGTCAAATGCATATCTCATCAACGAATACCTAAACATTCGGCGCAAGGAATCACGTCAATCAACGAAAATATGCTGTACATAAATTGCAACTGGGACAAAATTCTCTTCGTAATCGTGCTACGTAAAGCTCGCTAATACGCTGGTATCTATGATTTGCCATATACTTGTCCTGCTATGCTTCTGATCCACCTAACGACCAGCCTACCACGCCGGACCAAGCCGAAACATTTAATTCCCATTATTCGTATACAATCGAGCCAAGCCTACTTGTTAAAGCAAAAAAAAGCGTCGTTCATCGAAAAAATACCGCTGCATGCCTCTTTTCTTCCACACCTTCTATACATATCTATCTGTCTATCTGTCCTCTTCTCTCCCTTCTTTTCTCTTTCTTTCTCTCTTTTTCTCTATTGGAGTACGTTGTCGAGGACGAGTGCAAAAGTTGGAGCGAATCCTCGCCTATTCTTGCGTCAAGGTTGATTACCGATTACGGCATTGTGAAAGACAGAACGGACGCGGAACCTGTTTCCAGGTCACAATATGTCCGGCGTGGATGGTAACAGCACCGAGGGAGAATCCGCGTGCGGACGCGGTCCTGCCCAGACCGGGCCAGGCTGTTATCGTAACTATGAGCATTACAGTCTCTCGCGACATCGGCGCAGCGCCTCGTCCTGCTTCCCAAATTTGCCTAACGATCTGCCGACCACACCGGACAGCCCGAACCGTCGTCTCCTGGACTTTGCTCAGAGCGTACCCGGAACTCAGAACGACGATTACTTTCACGACGATGTACCAGCCCAGCACGTGAACCAAGGCAATACCACACCTAGCGTAAGTCACGTCGTCACACCTTTTATACAGTCCTCGTTATGATGTATGATTTTCCTATGTGTTTCCTTTTATTTTGTGCGTGTGTGTGTGTGCGCGCGCGCGCGCCTGAAGACTAGGCTTGCACGGGCGTTTCATGTTACCGCGATCGGACTGGGCTCGATTTTCGTTGGATCTTAGCAAAACGGTGTCACGCATGTTAGTTGACAGTCATGTTCTTTGTGAATCGTTGGCGTTACGTTTTGAACGGAGTAAGTAAAGTTGGAGATAATCTTTTTTGATGGAATTTGATCTCTACGTTAATCTGCAGGAGCCAAGTCTGTCTATAGATTTCCAGCGTAATTATCCCTCGAATATATTTTATATTGGGAAAATGTTCGAAATACTTTAGACGTGTAATTTTATGACAGCTTTCAACCGATTTTGTCTAGTTTCCTGTTTCGAGTGGAGCGGGGAATTCTTTGATTATTTTTTATTGAGAATTTGTAATTTTTAATCTTATTCGCGAGTTGCATTTCACGCGGAGAAAATACAGCGTGCTCCATTATAAATCTTCCCACGTTTCGCAATTATCTGTGGAATTACATTTTGTTCGAAGAAATGTTTCAGAACATGTAGCGTTTGTATTATTTCGTTCTTCACTTCGAATTGAACAAGCAAATTGTATTTATGTAGAGGATTTTACTATGAAAATTTCTAAAGAAATGAAATTTAAGTAGTTCATCTCTGTTTTTAAATCAAATTTCAAGTAGTTTATTTACATATTCTATTTTTATATTTTTGTGTATTACGAACTCTGTGCGTACTTTTGCGCCTTTAAATACTCCACAAATTTTTCGCGACAGTTTTCTCGAATTAAAGATTTTATCACTTGCGTCGGAATGATAACATAACGCGACACCCTGCATAAATATGCGATATATTAATTAAAAAATAATAAGATAAACTTAGCCAGATGAACGTAATATACCTAATTCAAATGATCATTTCGAGATATCTACAATGTGTTTCGTGTTTAACGATTATTCTCAACGGATATGAGTTTCTGTTTATTTGCACAATCTCTTCGCTTCCTATCGCTCTCTGATAGCAATTTGCGTTTGAAATGAGTTTCGTAGTTTACTGAAACCATAGCGTCGCCGAGTGTGATATAATCGTAATAACATCTCTTTCAAAAATAAGCAGCTGATAGAGTAAGTAAAAAACGCAAAAAAGGTAATAAAATCATTGTACACATCTGTTTAAGAAATTCTTCTTCTTTGATGATTTTAGAATTTCATACTTGTATTTCCTACATTTTCCAATATATTTTCTAATGTGTCTCGAATATAAAGGTAATCAAAATTGATAGTTTGTTTAGAAGCAAATGGTAAATCTTATACAATCAGATTGTATACCTATTCGTATAATTTTTCTTTTTAATAATTTTCAAATTCTAAATTTATACCTCGATATAAATTGACAAATACAAATTAATTGTTTGCTATAAATTGAAGTTGATCGATTGCTACGTAAAAGTTTGTTTATGACGCTTTCGTTATGATATGCGTCTGTACTCGTTGTTAACTAATATTTAATTATTCCATTAATTAAACAATGTATCTAACGTAGAAAAAAGTTAAATATATAGCCTTAACACCTATGTTAAATCCGATAAAAAGGAAATTCGAGCCCGTCTGTAAGGATAGAATCGTTCGTAAATTTTTAGTATCCGCACATGGCTACTAAAGGCACGACTATCAGAACGTCAGTGCGGTCACATTGGATGCAAACTAGTAGTAGAGTCTGATTTTAATCAGACCCAAGGATGATATGTATATCTTATACTTTCGAGACATATATCGTCCCATTCGCTGTTCTGTTTACTGTTACGAAGAGTCTTTTCACAGATACTTTGTCAGTTAATTTCAATAAAAAAGATACTGTTTTACATATAACAAATAATATATGTATGTATACCTACAGAGTGTTCATACTAATATTTCGAACGATTTTTTTCCAACCTTTTGCAAGAAATCAATGTAACAGAAAGAAGTTACAAATTGAAATTTATCTGTGTCGATTGGATAATGTTTGACGATAATGAACATTTTGAAAATATCATTTTCCATCGCGCTACGAAGCTAACGTAGCTTTGTTTTTTTTTTTTTTTAATGAAATTGTATACTTTCTTTTCATCAAACTGAAAATGATACTTCTATTCGCAAAGTAATCTAGTTTATGATATTGGAAGTAATAATACTTGTCTTTTTCGCTCAGTTTATTTTTGAACAGTGTATATACGTACAAACACAGCACGTTGAAAACATTTCTCACTTTATCCCCGGTCTAATAAAATCAATGAGGATTAAACACATTAATATACGATAGTATAATTTATATATGCTAAACTCGAAAGACTATATTTTTTTTTAATACATGTTCAAGCAATATTTCGTTCTTTTGCAGAATCCAATTAATAGCTTTAGTTTAATTGATTTTCATGAACTACTGCTCTAGTAATGATTTTCAAGCAACGTTCTATATTTATCAATTTTGTTAATTTTAAATAAAAATACGTATATTTTATGTTTACGAAATTCATTTTAATATGTTCAACAATATAATGACGAAAATCAAATATATAATTCCACTCGAAACATTTTAGTAGTCATTTAGGAATTCACTATGGAAAAAATATTTTCCAAATATTTATTATCACTATATGTTATTCACTCAATACAGATAATATGTAAAATGTTAAAAAGGAAACCCTGTATGTGTATATGCATATATGTGTATGTAAATAAGTTATAAAACATAAACCAATACCGTAAGTTAATGTTAGTGTAAAGTATCGTTTTCGCAAAAACAACTGCCATTGTGTTAACATACAAAGCGTTGTACAAGACTGACGCATATTCTCCAAATATAAAAGTTACCCGTGTGTGTGTGTGAAAGCATTAAAAAAAAAAAAACAAAGGTGTTGTATATTTATATCGAGCACACTCACCGTTCCTTTTATCTCAAGACTTATTTTTTATCTTTTTTTTTTCTATTCATTTACTATCTACCATACATGTATGCATCAAGTATAACCGCTGCTTTTTCCTCGATGTAATATCTATTTGAACGAATGTGCATCCAATGATATCGTTCTTGTTTGGAATCGATGTAATCTCGTTGGTGTCGAATAGCCACGGCACAAGTTTGTCTCTTCACACCGCCGTGCCCTAGTGAAGTAATAAATTTGCAACGATACGTCTACAATGGCAGAATGACACGATGTACCCAAGCACGCCTAGTGTGAAACAATTTTTCCATTTTTCCTTTTCTTTTTATTTTTTTTTCTTTTTTCTATTTGGTCTTTCGTGAGAAAAGAAAGCACGTCGAGCGCCGAAAGGAAAGAAAAGAAAAGAGACCAAATCCGCTCGATGTGCAGCTTTTTATCTATGTGTGTCTGCTTGATTTTTCCTTCTTCTTTTCTTTTTTACGGGATACCGGTGACAAATTGATCCGGTATCCCGTAGAGTTGTGTCTACCTTCTTATCCGTGTCAGCGAAATTGCTGCTAGAATCTCGAAATCAGGTCTGGCACGAACACAAAACGAGTAAATATTCCCCTCAACAGTTTTGTATGTGGCTTAAATTTCGATGGGATATTTCATTCCTTTACGAATCTTTCTCGCCAATGTTTCGAATAGCCTCGTTTGCGGAAATTATAATATTTACTCGGTGACAACACATTGAAACAATATCGCGTATGTTAGAATACGGAGCTTGGTCACCATTTATTTTCTTCGTTCTTAACTTTCTCCGTAAAAACGGTTTCTCCGCTTACATATTTTTAATACAAAATTGTACGAAACATGTACGTTCACGGAAAGAATGGTCAACCTTGCTCGGTACGATACATACAAAATTAACAGAAATGCTACTACAATACAGAGTTCTTCTTTATACAAACGCATCTATACCTACCAGTGCTGATAAAGTTACCGTAAAAATCTTCAGATAAAAAGTGCACGATTTTGCAATCTGTTACTTCATGTAGACCAATAAACATATATATACATATGTATACAGTTTATATAAAATGTTGTGAATATTGTTTTTTTTTTAAATGTCTTCTAGTTACGTGCAAAATATAGTAAGATAACGAAACATAAGAGAAATATCGTGATATAGAAGAATAATTTGATACTGTGAGGTATAGAGGTTCCGAATAAAGGTTTGCGCAACTTTCGATTTTAACTCTACTTGGTCGCGTGTTTTCCCGACAAATTCTTTCCGAGAGTTTTACCGTTCATACCGCCTCTCGGCAGATAAAATCTACGCGATTGATTTTTTTTCTTTTTTTTTTTCCTTCATTTAGTTCGCGAGTGAACCGACGATCTGCGGAGCCCGAAAGAAACGACATTAACTTCCCTTGACGTTCGCTTTCCCCTTTACTCGTCCACGCTATTCGAATTCAGTAATCCTTTAACAATTGCGTATCCTCGATTCATCGAACTTGTAACTCTTCGGATTTTTATTTCTCCGCGAATTAACGATTCTTCTGAAAGCTATCGTCGAACGTTCGTTGCTACGTACGATGTAACACGTGTGTGTAATTGATTGCAACATACATTTGTAAGTAATCGTGGTAATTTGTAAATAGCAGTGTACAAACATTGGAAGTTCGATGAACCGAAGACGATAGAGTCATTGAGAACACTAATCCTCTCATCATAACACGATCTTTTCACGTTATATTGGCTTCTATCCTTTCTAACGTTGTTTAACAAAAAGAAAGATCGATAAGAACTTTGCAAATGAATTCCATCCAGTGAATTACACAGCAATCGTCGAGTAAAAAAAAAACTGAATAAAAAGATAGAGCTTGCTATAGATAAGTACTTACGAGCTGAAATGAGAGACGAGTGTTGATAAATGAGAGGATTGAGGATATCACGAAGATTAAAGGACAGTGAAGACATCGATCAAAGAAAAAGATAATATAAGACCGCGTAGAGTGAAAAATTG